AAAATGATTCGTAAATTGTCCTTGTTATCCATATTGCATTAAGATAAGGTAAATTAGTTGAAACTCGAGAGAAATATCGGAGAAGATTGAATAAAAAGAATCGCCATTCTTTACAAGGAAAATGCCATACTTTAGAACTTAATTACATAATATTTCACGATAAAAAATGCCAACTTATTCAAAAATACACGAATTCAATATTTATTTTCAATTTCAAAATCTCTAATATCAAGCCATATCTTACGTAATCAAAAAAAAAAAAAAAATCGTAAAAGGATCTACTTACATAAACCTTGCAATATTAAAACGTAAAACGTGTCCACGCTCATTTATCGAAAATAAAGAACGCGAAACTTGATCAGGAATTACTACGTACTTACCTTCTTTTCTTTTTCTTTTTTCCTTTTTTTCTTTTTTGCAAGAAAAACAACACTTTTATTTCGCAACGACTCTAAAGAATAACCGGGCATTTTGAAACGGTCCGGTGATCAAGAAACCGGGCAAGAAGTACCGCGACAAAACCGGACTTATTATTCATTAGCCTCTCCAATAGCTCGTCCGACCTAAAGATGAATATCCAATCTAGGGAGAATAACATCCGGTAAGAAACTGTTGAGATATTATTAACACGTGTATTTTTAATAAATTGAATATGTAGAACTATTCAAGAGTCTTAAGACATCAGATTTTTTTTTATTGAAACAGATCATTGACATATAGATCGCGAATATTAAATGAATCTTTTCATCAAATTATCAGACACACGATATAAAAGATTATTAATTTATTAGATATTTCTTTACTTTACTGTTCATTTTTTTTTTTTTATATTTTTTCATAAATAAAATAGCGTGGCAATTGCTTCGAGACGCTTTTGGACGAAAGTGTTTCAAGGTGAACGCTTAAAAAATGGTGAATCGTACGATTAAAGGATGTTAGACAAGGGTTGCAAATTGAAAGAAGAAATTTTTTGCTCGGATGGCTTTCCAGCTTTGCACGAGATAGAATGTGGGAATGTATTGTTATGCCGTGGAACGTTGTCCGAGTTTGAACGCGACATAAAGGCCGATGATAAGTCGGCATTAATACCGAGGAAACCCGTTGAATTCGCGGATACAGTGGTTTTAAACGATCGTATTGCGGTTTACGCGATTCAGCTTTTTCTTCGCGCCGCCATATTGATTTTAACACGAAGGACGCGGCGCGTTAATTTTTAATATTTTACGTATTTACACGTATACTATCAAAATATATGTATTCATATCATCAACTGTGAAAGTTTACGCGTTTATGGAAAATTTAAGTGTCAATTATCTATAGGGATATAGCGCGTGATATGCAGAAAGACATAAAATTTTCAGAGCAAAGTAGCCCGTCTATTTATTTCAATTCCATTTTTACAGTCATAATGATTCATAAAAATTTAGACTTTTACGCACCTTTTGATCTTTTGGTTCGTAAAATTTTATGACAAATTTTAACCGTTTATTTGTTAATATTATTTTTTTATAATACGAAAAAAAAAATGTATAAAATTACGCGGACGGATATTTGGTAAAATATATTTTTTTTTTTTTTTTACGGATGAAACCAAACACCGAATTTGATATACCGACTTACTT